ATTATATTGTAGACGACCATAACACATATAATTAATGGATCTATATAGTAAAAAAGACAAAGGATTAGGTGAACCAAGCTAACTTCTTCTCTTTCCATCATTATTAAATTAACAACTCATAAGTTCTTTATTTTTTCTTTTTCTTTTACTTTACATGACCATTGAAGATAATATTTTAGAGAAAAGACTATTAATATTACATGATAATTAAGTATTAATAGATTTAGTATGAATGATTGACAATCATAAGAAAATCGAAATTGAAATTAATCTAAAATTGAATATAAAGAAGTGTAAAGGTAAAATCATACGTCATAAGTTTTTTTTAATTAATTTATTATTAAAAGTTGTGTTATTTTACTTTTTTTTAATTATTTTTATATTTAAATCCTTATTTGATCTAATTTCATATGATTTAAATTTAAACAATTAAGAAAATTTTAAAACTCTTAATTGAGCAGCATGAGAAACTCCAATGATGTTTAATTACATATATCTCACAACATATTTTGATATACGATCCCATCCTTTACTATTGCCCATCTATATTAAAAATAAAACAATATACAAGACCTAGGTTAGTCATAGATGATAAAATAAAATTTTAGTTTAATTTATTAGATTAAATTAAATTATTTTTTAGTTTTTTATAAATTTATAAAAACATGGGGTATAACTCACATGTTTCTCTCAAATAAAAAGTCATCCATAAAAAGATTAAGAATATATATACCAAACACCTACTGCAACCAAACCTAAGGGCTAAGCTTGAGAACTTTTAACATTACCTTTTTATGTTTAATATATTTTTTTATTGTTAATTTTTCTCTATAAGTATATAGAAAATTTTTAAAATTTTAATTTGTCTTTAAAATTAGACTTAACTAAAATTTTGATCCCTATAAAAAATTTTATATTTAAAATTAATTCTTAAAAAATTGTTAAAATTTAACCCTTCAAAAATTAAACATGTAAAAAATTTAAACTTTATTATTAACTTTCGGCAGTGAAGTGCTAAGTTGATCAGTAGAATTTTTAGTATTTTTACATGCTAAATACATGACAAACCTTTTATTTCATTCACTAAATAGTATTTAAAAATAATAATTTAAATAAATTTTTTTTATCTTTATAAAATTTATTTGATTTAAAATTTGTATAATTTTTTTTATTTAATCCTTAAGAATTGAGTGACTAAAAATTTTAGTTCTTATTCTTAACATCTATTAATTAAGTGTTGAGTTAATTAATGAAACTTCAACTTAATGTTGTCATATGCCAAGTACTCACCTAATTAATATTCATTTGTTACTAGTGACATGTACTTTAAAACCTAATATGATCATGTACGAACATGGCTAAACATGATTTACTGGTGTAAAAGTTGAGTTTTGTTAACGTCAACTCTTAATATTTAAGGTTGAGTTTAAGTATCTACAAATAGAAAATTTTTATAAAAAAAATACACAATTATTCTATTAAAGTTATAAAAACATAATAAATACTTCACTTTCTAATAAAATTTTACTATTATTAGTTGTTTATTCTTAGTTCTTAGAGCTAACTTTAACAAAACTCATAAAAATTTCTTATTATGATTTAGAGGTGAGTTGTGTAAAAAAAATAAGTTGGTGAAGAGTCACTGAAACCAAAGTAACAATGGTGAGTTGATGACTAGGATAATTAGAATAATGGTATAGTAATTAAGTTAATGATATACTAAATACTTTACACGTAACAATTCTAAGATAAAATTTTGATTTTCAATCCAACACTGTATAGGTAAAGGTTAAGAAGAGAACTAATAGTCTACTCATTTAATTTGTTAGGACTAATTTCATATGCAGTAATTTCTATAGGAATTAAAAAATTTTAAAGTCTCCATTTAAAATATTAAATATTGTAGCATTGATTAGAGTAAAGATATAATATTAAGTTAAAATTTCATTAACCAATGTAACACTTAATTGATAAAGGTTAATAATATAGTTTAACTCTTTACTAAGAGCGAGTTTGTTTGTTTTTCAAAAGAGAATTTTTTTAAAAAAAATTAAAATAAACAAACTGTAAGTCATTACAATTTTTTTAGAGATAACAATTTTTATAGAATAAAAGCTTTTTTAAATTTGAATCAAAATTATGATTGAATATTATAAAAAATTTTAAAAACCCCAATTACTCGACAAAATGTAAGCTTTCAATTGAATTATTATTCATTATTACAAATTGAAAAGATTTGAGTTAAGAAATTAGCTGTGAGAAATTTAAAAGTTTGCAAAAAGTGTCATGAAAGTTTAAAACTGTCATTATTGTGCCTAAACAAGTCACATTGAATGCAAGTTTGGTCAATTTCTCAAAGTTGATATAATATAGTAAATGATAAAAAGGAAAAAAGTTATCTGTTGTTAAAACGTATTGGGTAGATTAATTTCCAAAGGATTATATAACTCAATTTGATGCAAGTTTCATAATAATATATCTCACCCAAATCTACTGCCACCATGACTTGTGAGCTTTGAGATTGAAAACACCATGAGATCTTCATCAACTGGAGAAGGAATAGCAGTGAAATGTGGCCAATAATAAGCACGATCATAAATGGTGTTAACATTAGGGCCATGAAGCACTCCATTATTCAACTTTCTGTCTTTATTATTTGGTGAAGTCACAAGCTCAATAAATCTTTTGGTGCTATCTGAGTAGTTCTTCCATGAGGATGTGTCTCTTTCATATATATAATTCCTTGAATTAAAAAGTTGGATTTGAGAACTATACATTCGTCACAAAAGGTTAATCCTAATTTATGTCTTCTATCTACTAAGTAATTTCATAATCTGAATATAAATCTACACAAGGAAAATGTAGAAAGATTAACAGAGCTCAATTGCTTACACTTGGAAATGTGGGGGGTGTGGCTGCCACTTCTGCTGGAGACATTGAGGAATTGAAAGACAAAGCATAAATAGCAGCATTGAGTATTTGGGTTGCACCATTTCCAAATATGATATACCTTCCTTCAGTGACAACATTTCCAAAAATGTCATGAACTTGACGAATGTGCTTCACCAGCATTTCTGACATTAATGATCCATCACTATATTTATAAGTCATTCTGTGCCACCCTGATGCTTAAATTGCACTACTTGCTGCATGTTGCATCCAAAATGGCTCCAAAAATAATGGACCCCCCACTGCAATAAAAAATCTAGTGAATTTGGCTGACTGATAATCAATACTTTGGTCTAAATGATTTAGTTACAAGTTTGTTCATATTCTTGGTTGTCATTTGCAAGTTTTGTTGCTTTGTTGTTCATGAGATTGTTAATACTATTTTCTGCACTTGATTAAGACTATCGTGTACTCTTATTTGATTATAGTTGAACTATTGTTTTGGTTTGAATAACCTGTAGTTCTTCCTTCTCATATTAAAGGGGCTTTTCACATTAAAAATCTTAGTTATCTTTTTTTTTGTTATTATTTTTTAGATTCTCATATAGAGGTCTAATATAATTTAATATATGTAAGTTTCACAAAATAAATCCACCTCAAACTTTTTATCAATTGGCTTATATTAAGAATCAGTTTTTTAATTGGACTACATAGAATTCTAGTATTATAGGAACAATCTATCAAATTGTGTGATTTGTTACTTTATGACTTTATCTTCCTACTCCAGTATAAGTAGAAAAGTTGAAGGACCAAATTAAAAGAAGATTTGAGTAAAATATATAAAATAAACTTAAAGGATTTAAACAACATATACCAATTATTCAACATGGTGCATTGTGATGTGTGTATAAATTGTCTTTATATTAATGCTTTAGTTTAAGCCATTTGCATACATTATTATATTATTTGATTTTATCATGCATTATCTTCGTTTCAGATTACATGTTTGGGTTTCTTGTTTTTCTTTGTAAATAAGTGTTTTAGGTGCTTAAATCATAGTTTGGAGAGAGAGAGCAAGTATCAAGCTAGAAGAAAATAGAGTAAAGAATTAAAGTCAGAAGATTCTACAACTGAATTGTAGATTGCCCCATGCTTGTGAAAGTATTTTAGAGTGAAGAATTGAAGTCAGAAACGTTCACAAGTAGGCTGTGGATGACCCATGCCTGTGGAAATGTGCCATAAGTGCAAAAGTCAAGTAAGAAGAATCCCCAGGCATGTAGATTTCTACATGCCTGTGGTTTGATCAGTTACAAATTTTAATATTTTCAAGTAGGCTTGGCCAAAAAAAAAGAGAGAAAACGAGAAGATAAATTGGAGAGGATACAAGAAGAGACTAGAAGGAGGGCCAATAGTGGGAGGTGGAGACTACCTAGATGAGATCAACTATTTCATCATACTTTTAGTTTTTACTTTATATTATACATAACTAAATTTTTTCACGTTAGAGGATTGATGTAATATTTTAGATTATATGTTCTGAACCTTTTCAATTGCTGTTAAATTAATTTTAATTATTTCAGTGTTTTATCTTTGTTTATAATGATTATTATTTGAGCAATTCACAGTTGAGAGATTGAGGATTGTTTGCTATTAGAGATAGAATAGATTAGGTTTTGTCACAATTGGAAAATTGAGCATACTTAATTAGTTTGATATGAGATGACAACTGTTCTTCACGATTCTATTGAATTTCATAATTATCCTAAGGAATTAGGGATTAAGATTCAATGAAGAGATTTACTTGCTTAAGAAATTAGGGGTAAACAACTTTTAATTAACTCAATAGAGTAATTATAATTTTTATATTAGTTAAAAAGGGTAAAAATTTATAAAAAAGAATATAAAATCAATTCTCTAATATTTTTATAGTGATTAAATTTTTATTAATTTTTGTAATTACACTGAATTAATCTGGTTTTTTTTTAATTTTTCAAACTTGACATAAATTAGTAATTTGGAACTCAACAATATCAATCCTTGAGAACAATAATTTTATTACTACAGTAATGATTGTTACACTTACCAAACATCCAACACACTTACATCAATAGAACAGACTTTTAACAAAATATAAGTTTATTAGTTTCATATGTACGAGCTTGTAGTGATATTCTTGCTCCATTTGTCAAATTTTATTTTGGTTTCTGTTTCTTTAGCAACAAGATTCCTAAACTTGTTTATTAGCATCTCATAATCATCTTGACTCCTAATAAGACTGAGACGTATGTAACGATTATTAGCATTGAAGCGACTTCCTTGACGACCAATTATGCCAGCAGTTTTAAGAATTTCATAGCAATTCTTCTCTGATTGTCTCTTGCACTTCAACCAAGCATAGGCTGCAAGGAAATTGAAACCAAATTATTATGTAAGGATACAAAAAAAGATAAAAAAAATTATATACTTGAAACTAAAATATAACATTTTTTTTACCTTTAATTATTCTTCCCTTTTACTGTAAAATATATAAAATATAAATGAATACTAATTTAGAAATATAGTTATAACGCCAAAAATTTTTATGGAATGAGTTTAAACTTCAATTAAATTCTTCACAAAATTTGTGAATTTTATAGCATAAGACGTGATCAAAACTGGAATGGTTAAGATTCATACTTTGGTGTTTGTGTGCCCGTGTGGAAACTAAAATTTGGTCTCTAATTGACATTTACCTGGTGAAGGATCTCTAACCATCTTGAAAAAGTTGCAATATCGAGCAGACAGTTTTTGTAGAGAATAACGTCTTGATTTAGATATAACTTGTTTCAACCTTATCCAACGATCTCTCATAATTGGATATGAAAATTGAAATATTTCTTTTCCATCTCCTTCAATAGCCATGTCAAGAAGTTTCAAAGCTCTTAATTGAGCATCATGAGAAACTCCTATCGTATTAAATCGCACATATGTCAACATGTTTTGATATACTGCCTCATCCTTTACTATTGCCCAGCTAGTAGAAAAAAAAAATGGTAATAACAATATATAACACCGAGGTTAGTCTTATTTAATATAACAAAACTTTAATTTAATTTATATTGACAATTAATTATTAGAAAAGAGATCAAATCAAGTTTATTAAAAGCTAATTTAAATTTGATCTAATTTTTTTTAATACTATCAGCCAATTAATTAAAATTAAATATTAAATTTTTTATTTTCTTTGAATTTATAAAGACAAGAGGTAAAGCCCACATATTTCTCTCCGTATTAATCAGAATTCATCTTTCATAAGAATGAAAATATATTAAAAATAATCAGCCAAGAAACAAATATAATGAATAAGTACATATAAAATTTTGAATATTTATCAAGCTCTCTATCAACTTACAGAGAGTTCTCAAATTATTATTAAAATTATGATATATAACATTTCTCACCATTATTTAATGTAAACATTTAATTTTATTATAAATAATTATAAACAAACAGAAAACCATAAATTACTTCACAAAAGATAAACTTTCAATTGAGTTATTATTTATTATTACTAATTGAAAGGATTTGAGCTAGCAAATTAGTTGAGAGAAATTACAAAGTTTGCAAAAAGTGTCATAAAAATTTAAATTTTATATTTTCATTGTACCTAAAACAATTAAACGTAAGGTAAGTTGGCAAAAATATCAAAATTGATTTAATATAATATAAGGTAAAAAGAAAAAAATTAATTGAATTTTAATTGCAATTCCAAGGTTTACATCATGACCGACAATATGATATACTAACAGAAGAATCGACATAAACATTTGAGTTTGTTACTAAGGGAATATTCCAATGTTATGCTACTGCATAGAATGCTTAATAGGTAGGCCTTAATCAGTACACATTATATTTATTACGTAGAATAAATCATAATTAAAACTTATGCATCTTATTACTCTCTTCGAGTTTTGATGAACTTTGAACTTCAATAAGGAGTTAGAGCTCTACTGCTCACTCAATAGTTTGCCAGAAAAATAAATAATTATAGTTCAGATAATGGAAGTGAAAGCTCAATAGTGGTGTGGTGGATTTGAATCCTTTGTAGCACCAAGTAAGCTAACATTAGTACTATAAATTATATTTTATACTCATGGTCAATAGTGGTGTGGTGGATTTGAATTCTTGTAAAATCATCAATAAAAGCAATATAATATCTACTCTTGTAAAGACAATTTAGTTTGAGGTCTTCCAATGTTTGGGTGAATCAACTACAGTTTTCATGAAGCTCCCTATCTTGCTTATGAAAATGGCAACCTAGTTTGCTTCCTATATTGGCACGCACTACAGGTACTTAAGTAATCTTCCAATGATGACAAACCTTTTACAATATTGTGCTTTTTCATGTTCAGCAATGTAGTATGGTTGAAATGACCCATTTTCTTATGTCAAAGTTCAGTAATATTGATGGAGCTTGAAACAACAATTTGCAGTTCCTCCATTAGATCTAAAGAGAAGTTTTTTCCTTTCATTTTGACCTTAACAAATCTTGCCCACTTGCATATTTGATTAAACACATTTTGTCTTCAAACAAGATTTTGTAGCCTTTTTCAAGTAACTGACCAACACTCAACAAATTTTGATTAATGTCAGGTACATAGAGCATATGAATGATTATTTTTATACTTGAACAACTTTCAATTGCCCTTCTCTTTCACAAATATGCACTCTTCATTGTCAATTCTAACTTTTGAAATAATGGTATGATCCAACTCTTTGAAAATTCTTCATCATCATAGGTCATATGATGTGTGCATCCACTATTAATTAACCCACTTTCACTATTGTTGCTGGTGGCAAAATAGGTTGCTACAAATAACTACTCCTCTTCTTCTTGTTGATCAACCACTTGAGCCCTAATTTGAGGCTTCTTTTTGTTCTTACAAATTTTTGCAATATGACCAAGGTGGTTGCATTTGTTGCAACATATATTAGGCCTCTTCTAGCATTTGAAGTGAGGATGATTCTTCTTTCCACAATACTGACAAGGAGAATGATCTGACTTCTCATATTCTCCTTTACTACCTTTGTTAGAACTCTCTCCTTGCTTAAAGTTGCTCCCTTAAGCATTCTTTTTCTTTCCTTTGTAGCCATGACTGAGTTTCAGTTTGGCTTGTAACGCACCTTCAATCACACCTTCTTTCCTCACGAGTCTCCTTTGTTCTTGGGCTTGCAAAGCATAAAACAATTTTACTAAAGTGATAATTGACAAATCTTTTGAATTTTCCAAAGAGGAAATATTGGATTCAAACCTCTCAAGAATGGTCACAAGACTTTTTTGTACAATTCTCGTATCAGAAAATTCAATTCCAAGCAACCTTACTTTTGTTGTAGCCAATTCAGTTCTAGAAGTTAGTTAGTTGAGTACTGTATAAAAATCATTATTGTTATGTTTCACACGTGCATATAAAAATTTCCTATTTCTCGTTCTCACTCTCTGTTCTCTCCTTCTATCATCAAACGAAGAGTGTGTGATCTTGCTGTTTGTACAGCAGGTATTTTGGTTTCTATAGTGGTATCAAAGCTTCTAGTTCTTAGATTTCGAGGAGAGTTTGTTGGAAAATCGCTGTGTTCTTCTTTATATTTGGTAGCTATTCTTATTGCAGATATGAATAGGAGTGGGTTTCTAGCATATATGCCAGTTCTTGATGGCAAGAACTATGATTCTTGGTGCATCCAAATGAAGGTCATCTTTGGAATGCAAGATGTCCTCGAGTATGACACGGATGGATTTCAAGAACTGAAGAAAGATGCAGGTGATTACCAGAAGGCTGCGTTTAAAGAGGCCAAGAAAAGGGATTGCAAAGCCTTGTTTCTCATCCACCAATGTGTCGATGCTGCTAATTTTGCAGAGATTACTTCCACTGCAACAGCTAAACAGGCGTGGGAGATTCTTGAGAAAGCTTACTCTGGTTCTGCTAAATTGAAGAGAGTGAAGTTGCAAACTCTGAAGCGCCAATTTGAGTTACTGCAAATGAATGAGAAGGAGAAGGTAGCTGAGTATCTGATTCGTGTGTAGAATTTGTCAAATCAGATGGTAGCTTGTGGTGCAAGTCTAAAAGATCAAGATATGGTTGAGAAAGTTCTAAGAACTTTGAGTCCAAAGTTTGATTATGTTGTTACTGCCATAGAGGAGTCCAAGAATTTCACAGAAATGAAGTTGAATGAGCTTTAATACTCATTGGAGGCATACGAGCAAAGAATAAATGAGAGAAGTACTGAAAGATCTATAGAATAGGCTTTGTTTGCACAAGGTGGCAAGAGATTTGACAATGGTTCAAAAAGGAAAAAAGAAAAAGAGAAGCAAAAAATTGCCAAGTTCAAGAAGCAACCCAGTGATGATAATTCCTGTTATAGTGAGAATAACTCTGTGAACAAGAAGAGCAATTCTCAGAATGATGGTGTGAAAGGGAAGTCTAGTAAGAAACCTATACAATGCTATTACTGCAAGGAGTGAGGACACTATGCAACACAATGCAAGGTCAGAAAATCAAAGAAAGCCAGAGAAGATGAGGCTCAGTTGGCTCAAGAAGATGATTTTGATGAGGAGCAGGTGTTGCTTATGGTGACAAATAAATTCAGACAAAGCAGGTAGTAATGAATGATATTTAGATACTGGATGTTCCAATCATATGACAGGGAGGAAGGATTGGCTTGTTGACCTGAATGAGTCTGTCAAAAGAAGCATTAGGTTCGCAGATAACATGATTGTCAAAGTTGAAGGCCTTAGAAGAGTCATGATACAGAGAAAGGATGACAAAAGCTCATCTATCTCTGAGGTACTCTATGTGCCCAACATAAGGAGTAATTTGTTGAGTTTAGGGCAATTGCTTGAAAAGGATTATACAATGAATCTTGAAAATAAATATCTGAAGGTGTATGACAAGAAGGGCAGGTTGATTATCAAATCACCAATTTCAAGCAATAGAACATTTGAAACTGAGATCCAAGTGCAAAATGAGCAAAAGTGTCTCCTAGCAGTGGAGGGATTTAGAGAGTTGGCTTTGGCACATGAGGTTTAGACATCTAAACTTCAGAAGTCTTGGTTTACTAAGTAACAATCAAATGGTTACAGGTATAACCAAGATACAGCAGCCCAACAAGGTGTGTGACAGTTGTTGTGAGTCCAAACAACCTAGAAAGTCCTACAACACTGAGGTAAAGACTAAATCAACTGTAATTTTAAATTTGATTCACTCTAATGTATGTGGTCCCTTTGAGGAAGTTTTGCTTAGTAACAGTTGCTATTTTGTATCATTTATAGATGATTTTAGTAAGAAAGTATAGATTTACTTGTTAACCAAGAAAAGTAAAGTGTTCTCAAATTTTAAGAAGTTCAAGCTGCTGGTTAAGAAGCAAAGTAGTAGGAATATTCTCAGAATCAGAACAGATGGTAAAAGAGAATTCACTTCACATTAATTTGAGAATTTTTGTGAATGTGAAAGTATTATACAGGAGATTACACTTTCATATACACCTTAGCTCAATGGTGTTGCAGAGAAACTCAATAGAACCATTGTAAACATGACTAGGAGTATGCTAAGAAACTTTAAATGCCAAAGAAGTTTTGGGGGGAAGCAATATCCACTGCAATATATCTTCTCAATAGATGTCCAACCAAAAGATTAAAAGAAATGACACCTGAAGAAGCCTGGAGTAGAAACAAGCCAAGTGTAAAACACCTAAGAGTGTTTGGTTGCTTGTACTTCAAACATGTCCCAGATCAGTTAAGAAAGAAGCTTGACAGCAAGGAGGTTACAGGCTTTATGACTACAGAGAAAATAGAGTTGTAATAAGCAATGATGTTGTGTTTGATGAAAGCAGAAGCTGGAATTGGGATGAAACTACAAATAGGGATGATTCCATGAGATGGATTAGCATTGGAGATGATGAACCTTATCATGTACCAAATGATGATCTTGTTGAGCAAGAAGGAACTGGTCACACTGATCAGGGTGCTACAGTGATTTTTGC